GTCGGCGTGGCGGGGCAAAGCGCAGCACAAGGGGGCGGGAGCTCCTCAGCCCGCCGCCGCACAATTAAACGGCGTGGGGGACCACAACGCAGGCAGGAGGACGTGGGACACTTACTCTACTACGAATAACTAGTACATCTGCTTTTGTGGTGGTTGGTTGAATGGAAGAAGATCAAAAAAATGTTTTGAAAAAAAAAATCACCCGTCAGCACAACAGAGAGTAAAGAGAAACTACTGCAAGCCAATATTTCAAATTGGGAAAGCGCGACGTACATGCAATGCGGCAAGTGGTGCGCCACGCTCTCATTTCCTCTTGTAGATGTTTTTGCCCGCATTGATTTCATAGATCTGTCCTTCTGTTGGGTGTGTCTTCTCCAATTACATTCAGTGAACTATCATGCGTTTAGGGTGGCGCCACCGCATTGAGACATTAACTCTGCCACCCACCTACGCGGTCAGAGTTCTCGCAGTGAAGTAGAAGCGCGGGAGGCGCGGGAGTCACGGCCAGTCTTGCGGCTTTCGTGTTCAGCCTCGACATGCCACACCAATTCTGCTGGGGCGTCAGGAGGCGGCATGGACGACTGTGTCCACGGCGATGTGCCCCCCGTTGCGTAGTTCTGCCGCAACAACTCGCGGCGAGAGGAGAATAGCGCTTTGATCCAGCTGTCCGTCGTGTCGCTCATTTGCGTGATTGGCGCGTTCGGCTTTGGCGGTATTATGTATGCCAAGTCGCTAGCCTCATCAGCATTATTATCACCATCGTCAGAATCTGTTTCCCTTGTTTTACATTTCTCCATTGTGAATTCAGCGCTGATCTTTGGCCTCAGTCGCAGAAGCCGCATGAGATCCACAACGTCCCCCTCCGTGATAATCTTTACTACATGCGCTGGCACCACAAGGTCGAACGCTGGGGGAGAGCTGCTGAGGAAGTGGCTATAAGCCTTGTAGAAAATGTCACGGAAGGTATCCAGCACCTCCTCCTCCTGCGCCTGCAGGTGTCGCAGCGCCTCCATTACATCCGGGGGTAACTCCTCCATATCGCTGGACCCGTTCGGTCTTGCGGTGTCCGCGCCCGCCCCGGGCAAACGCGCAGCGGAGGCAGCAGACGTACGGCCCCGCGACTCCAGCGACGCCGCCGTGTCGTTTGTGCGCAACATCTTGCCCCGCATGTATGTCTCGTAGAAGAACTCGTCGCGGGTGACGATGAAATAGGCCTTGTCGGTGGTGCGCAGGACCTCGTCCTCGTCCATATCGCCCTTGCGCAGTGGCTCGCCGAACTTTGGGGTGAGGCTCACCGGCATCTCGCTCGGTGTGTTGCGCTCGGCCACGCGCAGCGAGCCGCACCACAGGAACCACAGTCGGTCCTTCACGTCGCTTTTGAAGTACAGCACCATCCGCGTGATGTACTTGTGCTCCGTGTAGAAGAAGTGGGTGACGATGTCGGAGCAGACGTTCTTCACCTCAAACGCGATGTGGGCGGAGACAGTGCCCTCCTCGCTGAGGTACTCCGGGCCTTCGTACGTGACGGTGATGGCGAAAGGGTCGTTCTCCGCCCGCTTGCGGTCCATTATTGGGAACTTGTTGGTGCGCCGCTGAATCATCGCGATGCGTGGGCTCCACACCGCCCTGATGACGCTGTTGTGGTACCCTTTGGGGAACACAAAGCGCTGCAGGATTCCTTCGCGCTTCTGCTTGCGGGCAATGAAGCTGCCAATGGTATCCTTGTTGAGTACCTCCACCTGCGTTGTGGTCTCCGTGACGCCGTCGCCCAGATCCTCCTCCAGTGTCGACATGTACGTTGCCACAATAGGGCAGGAGTCGTTGACGTTGCGTTTGAAGCCTGCCTCGATGGTGGCGGCGTCGAGGTCTTTGCCCTGTTTGCGCATCACCTCCCGCGCCTTCACATCCGTTGTGTACCACCCGCGTGGGAAGTTGTGCTCGTACACGACAGTATCTGGAACAAAGACATTGCGGCACGGCTTCATTGTCTTGGGGTTGCGCTTGCACAGGAGATCGTAGAAGCTCGTAATGATGTCATCCCCTTCCATCGGGTGGTTCTTCATCCATGTGCTGTCGACCTTCCGCCCCTTTCCTTTCACTGCTTTCACCTCAGGCATCTTGTGTCGGTTTTTCTCAGCGTGGGTCCTTGAACACACACGTACACACTGAACGAGTAGCAGTGTGTATGTGAGTGTGGGTGAGTGGGTGTGTGTACGTGCAATGAGTAGAGTGCAAGACAAAGCGTCAGGGAGAAGAGGGGAAGCAAGCTGCGCCTGTGTGTCCTATCCTCCCCGGCAACAGAACAGCAGCCACACACAAACACACACACACACATACACACAGAGAGAGAGAAAAGTCGCGGTGCTCGATTGGATGCTAGCCACCAGCCCACCTTCCCACTCCCACTTCTATATATATATATATATATAACGCGTGCTGCTTCACACAGAGCAGAGGGAATACAAAAATCTACAAAGAAGTAGCCACACAACAGAATCAAAACGTATGCAAAACAACTACACATGGAAGAAAATAGTCGAGGGAGCGCTCCGAACGAAATTCATTTACTACTTTCGCTTAGATTGGCTCTCCCTTTGGGCTTCATACAACTTTTCAAGCGGCATCTGTTTCAGCGGTATCCCGAGCACGTGCGTTCTTCTGTCTTTGAGCGTCTCCTTCTGCACAAACAAGGCTTGCACCACTGACCGCTCACGACGGCCTGCTCTGTAGTCTGGTGCTCCACCAGAAGCGCCACTGCTATGTATGTCGTACACGCCTCTTGCGCGCATACCAATCCGTGTAAACACCACAATGACGATGACGGAAAGCGCCGCGGATAAGCACAGGACGAACAGAGAGATGAAGCCAAAGTCTACCGCGACGCGCTGTTTTTGCCTCACTGGAACACAAAGCGCCGTATCCTCGCCAGCAGTGGTGTAAGAACATGGGTATTCATTTACAGTACCCGTGAGAAGAGTTGAGTAGCATGTGTAATCGAAGCAGAAGGCGCACTTGTTCACCGTATCATTGTTGCACACCTGACAGCCGCCGAATGAGTGCGGCATACACGGATCAAACGGGATGTCGCAATGCGGCCCACTCCACCCCGACGCTGTATCACACACGCACATACCGCACTCACAGTACCCACCGTGAAGGTTGCAGTTGCTGCAGTCAAAAGATGTGTTACACCTCACTGAGCAACTTTCCCCGCTAAAGGGTTCTGGGCATTGGCAACGTCCAGTTCCGTTGGTGCCATGATCGCAGGTTCCATTGTTTTCACAGGTGCGGCACGGCAGACATTTCGGGCCAAAGTATCCCGCGGCACACTGCTCGCAGGCCTCACCGGTGAACCCCGTAGCACACACACATTGCTTTGAACTGGCGTCGCATGATCCTCCAAGCCCGCAATCATTACATATATTCTTTGGTTCAAAGCGAATTCGCGTACCGGTTCGAACGAGGGTCACTGGCACCATAATAGTAGCAGGGTCCTCTAGTCGGTGGCGGAAGAGACCAATAAAGGGCGTGGGGTATGCGAAGAAAGGCAAAGCGGTGTTATTTGTCGCGATCTCTGTCAAAACGGGTAAACCGTAGCGGAATTCGATAACACCGCTTTCATCCATGTAAACTTGGTACGTGTAGGAGCGCATTGGCTGCTTCACGGCCTTTATTGCGCACACCTCCAAGAAAAAACCCCGAGGACATGGTGGATTCTCGCACAGCGAGCCATTTGTCACGCGTTCGTCTAGTTGAGTGTATGTCACCACAGACTCACTGTCCATGTCCTGTGCCGTGAGAAACGGCATGATGGCAAAGCTATAGTTACCATTTGGGCATACCTTCCAGATGGGGCCGCAACCTTGATAACTGGAAAATACCGAAAGAAAGCCAGATGTCGAGATATATGTTCTGTTCGTCATGTGCGTGGCCTGATCCTTGGTGTAAAAGGGGAATTTGAAGCCGAGTTCGAGCTCATTCTGTCCATTTTCGTCGTACGTTTGAGTCTTGTTATTCAATGACGCCTCACTCACAAGCGGAACATCCTGCTCAATGATCACATTGTAGTAATTGTTCAACGCCGGTAAACCTGCCTCTGACGATGGCGACTTGGTGCTAAAGCTCCCGCGGGGGCAGCTGTTTTGGGCGAGCGTCACCGCCACACACACCTGCGTCGCCGCACACCACTCACATTGGGCACCTCTGCTCATACACGCCTCCTCGCCCACAATCGCCGGGCAGGTGTCCATCTGCGGTTCGTACCGAATAGCGGCGATGCCGTCGTGACGCGCATTCGTACTCACGACGATGCGCTCGTCTTTGGACAGCACAAGACCCACAGAGGCGCGGCTGCATGTTGGCAGTGTCTTGTACCGCATCACGATGGTGCCGTTCGCCCACACCTCCACCTGCGCCGTAAGTTTGTTATTTTCGTCCTCACAATGCAGCACCGGGACCTGCCGGAACTCCACAATAACCCGTTGAGGCTCAGAATTGTCGTCATTGTCGCCGCCCGGCACGAGGAATAAGCGCACAGGCCACAGCACCTCCGCCCTGTTGGGGCTCAAATCCGAAACGAAGAGCCCGATCATGGGCCAATCGCCGCCGCCGCCGTACACGGTGTCGCCGAAACGGTAGTTGCCGAACAGAGTGTCCAGCGCCATCTCTGTGCAGAAGAACTGGCACAGCGGAGCGGGCGTTGGGGCAAGAAAGCCGTTCGAAGACACATGCCACGACACCGAGTCGTGGCTGAAAAAGGGCGAGGCGATGCCAATCGCCTGAAAGCTTGGCGCATCGTCATACTTCGAGACGAAGGAGTGAGCACCTTTGTCAAAGGCATCGGGGTTATACTGCGCCCAATGATCAGCAGGAAGATTCGTCATGTCTCCGGTGTACAACGTCTGCACGTCGTACCGCAGCACCGCAGCGTTTGAGCGCAGCGCTGACACACACAGCAGGCAGAACAGCCACAGCATTACGCAATCTACGGGGGCACAACCACCAATACTAATAATAACAAAGCAAAGAAGTACTTCACTATAGAACAGAAGAACTGTCAAACACAAAAAAGTATGGACAAGAGCAACGCTGTAATCGAAGAAGTTGGCATAGCCAATAGCAACGCATTCATACACAACAGTGCTGTGTAAATGCGTCTGCGTCGCCTGCTGATTCTGCTCATTATCCGTCAGGATGGCGTCGGCAGCAGCCGACGACCCACATGGAACGGTGGCATCTCCTACTTTGCGAGGGACGCGCCGCAACGCCAAGCAAGAAAGAGAAGAAAAGCGAAGACCCAAAAAACGGAGGGGGGGGGAAACTCCTCATATGGGAGGCGAAAAAAAGAAAATGTATAAGCTTGAAAAAAACCGAACTTCCGTATAAGGCTATATAGGTATATAAGTGCATACGTATATACGTATATATATATATATATATATATATATGTGTGTATATGTGTATATGTGTGTATAAGAGAGGGAGCACATTGTATAAGGAAATAAAAAGACATATATATATATATGCAATATATATATATATACGTAGTATAATGTCCAGAGAATGCATCGGCACGGAAAGCACAAGCACCATAGCAGAAAGCGAGGCACAACCACGCAAAAGAGAAACCACAACACTCACAGCTGCCACAACGCCCTATACAAGCGGTGACTCGTAGAATTGGCTGGAGACACGCACACACACACACACCGAGCCCTCACATCGGAGAGAAGGATACACACAGTGCACGAGTGCAGGCAGGAATGAGAGGGGTGGGGAAGACAGAGACAACAAAAACACAAAAAAAAAGAACATCACCGCAGAAACACATTTGGGCCCATTACTCGAAAACTCGTGAAACGAAAATGCCATGAGCACACGAGGAGACGGGATCCAATGGATAGAAGGCTCAATGCAAACGTCTGCGATATTTGACTGTTTCCACACCACACTTCTCCATGCATAACAGCACACACGTCGAGGCAGAGAAGTCGCCGTTGAGCACGCGAAGACGGCTTGGGACAGCTTCATCGTGCAAAGCATTCCAGCCAAATAAATCCACAAAAACACATTATGGTTGCATGATTAAAGTAACCCACACACAGACTACACACAAAGCTACAAAACAATCAAAAAAACAAACGCACAAGGCTAACCGTCTACATAATCCATGGTTGTGCGTTCCAAATTATGCAACGCAATCCGCAGCCACACAAGCACACAGCCCCCTCAGATGGTGTGCAGAAGCTTCGGGAGCAAATACAGCGCCAAAGGTTGGCTGATGCTGGGCAAAGCAACCCATACATTGCAGTGGCACACATGGATGTGCCGCTGACGTAAACTAGGCCTCCAACACGCACACACCACAAAGCAGCAAAGGCAGCAAAAGCGCGGCAGGTCAAACTAGATTAACCCAAAAAGTCGACACAACAGCCCACATCACAGATGGCGACTTGGGGGGGCACGCACCTCCACTGTACGAGAGCCGTTATAAACTGACACCGCCGGTGACGCACCACCATGCTCCCTCAAAAACTCCACCAAGCCCGAGGAGGCAACGGACATCACCATCGGCCTCAGATCCGGAGACAGCGAACTTCCCCAAGCCGCCAAACGACGGTCAGACAAACTATCCCCACCACGGACTCGTCTCGACCTTAATTCAGATAAACGGTCGAGCACATGACCCAACTTCA